AGCCAACTCCCGTGTCTGGAGAACTCATAGACTGTAGAAGAGAACCTACTATTACCTTTCAGCTAAATTGATGTGGTATCCAACTGCTTTCTTTATGCACACTTATAATTTAAAGAGGAAAACCAACCAACTAAACAGCCAAAGATAAAGGAAACCAAATGTGACAGTGACTCTTCACTATCAACTTGATTGGACTTGGAGTCAATGTGGTGTGTCTACGAGAGTGTTTCCTAAAAGATCTAACTGACAAAAAGAAAATCTACCCTAAATGTGGGGGACACCACGCCAAGGGCTCAAGCCCCAGACTGAGTCAAAAAGACAAAGCAGATGAGCATTAGTCTTTGGATTACTGTTTCCTGACTGTAGATACTACATTATCAGCTGCTTCATGCTCGAGCTGTCTTCCCTGCCATATTGGATTGTATACCTTGATCTGAGAAGCCAAGACACATCCTTCCTTCCTCAGGTTCCTTCTTAACATGCATTTTGGCATGTCGATAAGAAAAGTAATTAATATAGCAAACAAACAAACAAACAAAAAACAAGGAAAGAGTATGTTTAATAACTGGTTTTAATACCCCACCCCCAAAGTTATCCCATGGTAAGGTGCATTAGCTGGTTTTCTTAATCATGTCCATTTCCTAATCTGGCAGTTCTGATGTGTTACTTTTTGGGGATACCACCTTGGTCTGGTATCCAGGATATCCTCTGTAAAATATTCTGATGTAGGCAATTGTATGTAAATTATATTCAGTTCTGGAAGTGTGGGAGAAGATCTAAATATGTGCATTCCCACGATCCCTAATCACATTGCCCAAGGTACAGCTGTGAAGTGTGTCTCAAATCTTATAAATAGTAAAAGAATAAACCGATATTTGTAAGCTATTTGCCTCTTCCTACTTTTAAAATGTTTCAGTGTAAGTCTGAGTTTATCCTGACTTCTATGTGGTGATTAACTTTGATTATCGACTTGACTGGAATGGGAAACCCCTAAAAGATGAATGAACTACACCTCAGGGTACGTCTGTTACAGTGTTTCTGAGAAGGTCAACTAGGGCTGGAGAACTAGACCTGACAGAGGGTGGAACCATCCCCTAGTCTGGAAGATTAGCTCTAACAGTGGGTGGAGACATCCCTTAGGCTGGAGAACTAGCCCTGGGAGTGAGTGGTACCATCCCCTAGGCTGGAAGACTGAATAGAAATAGAGGAAAGGAGCCAATGCCCCATCACAAGGGTGCTGCTTCCTGATGGCCACAAAGACAGGAGCTCCTGCCACATACTTCCATTGTTATGATGCTCTCCCAAAGACTATACAGGCTAAAACCCACATAACTCTGAGCCACACATCATTCCTTCCTTAAGTTGTTTGTCAGATGTTTCCAAACTCACAATGAATACATGTTGTTCTTCATCTTTATCATTCCCTGCTTTCCTGAATGGATAAAAGAGATGATGTTGAAGACAGTTCTCAGGAAATTGCTTACAACCAAGACTGACTGTCTCTGTGGTAGCTCTGAAGTCTGGTTGTGGCCAAAGCGTTGTATGGTGAATGCGATTTCTCTGTGTTTTCTAGAGTTAACAGGGTGGATTTGGGGCAGTCAAGTTTCCTTATGTGACTTTCATGGCTTGTTGAAGATAGAAATAGTTTTACACGGCAATCTAAGGCAGAAGATAGGGAGTATTTTCCACTGGTGCCTGAGGATTTGATGGCTGTGGTTTTCTTCACTACTATTAGAGAGGTTGCTTCTAAATTACTTTGACTGAATTGCAGAAAGAAATACATTATTATAAGTATTCATAAGACTGGTAGAATCCTTATTTGGGAGAATGCTTGTTAAGCATGCATGAGGCCCAACATCTTGACACCAAGGAAAAAAAAAAGAGAGAATCATGAGATTTAGATGTGTGTATGCAAGTAGACACATGCATATACATGCATGTATAGTAGCTTACATACAATAGTATTTGTAGATTTAACATGATATAGTAATATAAATTCAATTTAGAATTTTGCAAAACTATAGTTATTCTTACTGTTTGTGTCTCTTTAAAAAGCTCTGCATACATTCCACTAAACTGATTTCACATCCATTGATAGCTTGCAAATCAAAAAGGCATTGATTCAGAGTTGCCATCTTCCAGGCTCGAGCAGTTTCTGGTTCAACAGTGGACAGAGACCACTCTAGTGTCCCCTTTTATAGACAGGGCAGAGGGTTCTGGCTGCAGAACAGGACAGCTGCCTTAGAAGCACTAGCTGACTGTTTTGACTAAAACAAGCAAAAGAAACCCACTGTTTCCCATTTGTAGGACTCCTGTGAGTTTTATAAAACATAGAGCGATGCTGTTGCTATATGGCCATTCACAAACACATTGTAGGGTTTTGTACATCTTAAAATCACTTTGCCAGTGTGTTGACCAATCCACAGAGAAGGAAGCATCAAGCTATCATTGCATTATCTCAGTCCCCTATAGTATCAGTAAACCCTTGGCTGTAACTTTAGTATTATTTTCTTCCAGCTCCTGAGAAAGTTCCATGTGAGCTTTGAGCCTCTTCAAACTTAAGCTTCCCTCCTTTTTTTTTTTTTTTTTTTTTTTTTTTTTTTTTTTTTTTTTCCCAAATTGTAGAATAAAAGCTTTGCTTTCAAATTACAAAAACCTCAAAGTCTACTTTAGCAAGCCAGGCTTTTAATGTGACAAATAGTTTTCTTTTACTGCTAAAATGTCTACAAACACACACAACAAAAACCAAACAAAAATAAAGAACTTTCTCCAGAGTTTTATTGTTGGTGGTGTTAACTGTTCTGATTAGAACGTTCCTAAACAAAAACAAAGGAAAAAGAAGCACCACTTTTTGTTCATTCAAAATAAGAATTTCTTTTCTGGTACTTCCTTTAAAATCTGTTCTGAGACAAGACTCTGCTGTGATAACCAACCCACTAGTCAGGCCTGCATGTTAGGGAGCAGGCAGTGCTAGGTACCAGAAGGCCCCGAGCTCATTGTCTATAAACACAACAAAGAGTTTCAGGAGGACAAAACAATTGAAGTGTTGAGGGGCCTTCAATCAAAGTTTGGTGTCTTCCTTGATGGCTCTTCATCTTATGTTCGAGAAGAAGTTTTAGACAAGGGTCCCACTGGATCCATAGCTTGTTAGTTGGCTTCACTAGCCAGCCTCGGGGTTTCCTTTTGTCCCTTCTTCCCCAGCATCAGGGTTATAGGCTTGTGTCGCCACACCTTGCTTTTTACATGGGTACTGTCCTACTTAGGATGACTATTGCTGTGATGAAACACCATGATCAAAGCAACTTGGGATACACTTCTACATTGTATTCCATTGTTAAGGAAGTCAGGACAGGAACTCAAACAGGACAAAAAGTTGTAGGCAGGAGTTGATGCAGAAGTCATGGAGAAGTGCTCCTTAATGGTTTGCTCCCATGACTCCTAATCCTGCTTTCTTTCAGAACACAGGACCACCAGCCCAGGGGAGGCACCACCCTCAGTGGGCTTGCCCCTCCCCCTTGCTACTGATCATTATGTAAGAAATGAGCACTCCCTCGAGCGCGCACACACACACACACACACATGCATACATACACCACCCACAAAACACACACACACACACACCACAAAACACACACACACACACACCACAAAACACACACACACACACACACACACACACACTCAGAGGAGGAATGAGAAAAGTTTCCTTTTTAAACGATTTTTTAACTTTTGTGTGCATTGGTGTTTTGCATGTTTGTCTGTGTGAGGGTGTCAAATCACTTGGATCTGTAGCTAAAGACAGTTGTGAGTTGTCATGTAGGTGCTAGGAATTGAACTTGGATCCTCTGGAAGAGCAGCCCTTAACCAATGAGCCTTCCCTCCAGCCCTGAGAGCTTCCTTTTAACTATTTGTTTATACTTAAAGTGTAGCAATGTTCTCAGCCTTACCCAGAGAAGCTTAAGTTTGTAGTGGGCAGCGGTTAGTGCAGAAACTCATAATTGGTCACAAAAGGAAGAGTAAGTGACTAATGAGTGTTTGCCAGATGGGACCATCTTTATTACTTCCTCCAAAGCTCTGGGAGCAGGGAGCAGAAAGAGCCAGAGGACAGAGCACAGTGTTGTGACACTGTCTTCTGTTCATGACACAACCATTGCACTCACAAAAACACAACAGCTGTGCTGCCTGCACAACACTAAGCCAGACATCATTGTTTCATGAACTGGAAAGGGACCCATGAGGTCCCACCCTCCCTGAGGAGTTATAGGCAGCTAATGGTTGCTGAGGCTGAGGGGTCATTATTCCTTAGTGGTGTAGCCACAGGTAAAGTTGCACTTGCTCACATAAACAAAAAGTCCCACTCCATCTCATGCAAGCAACTCCAATTAAATACTGTAGGGCACCCACATTAAAAAGACATGAAAGTGAAGGGGAACTCATTGGGAAGGAGAAGGGTTCTTCTAGTGGGAGGAGAGTAAAAGCAGGTAAGGCCAAGAAACATTAGTGAAAGAATATCTAAAAATGCGTGTTTTATCACAAGAAAAACACAGAATCAACTAACCTAGGTTCACAGAGCCACCCACAGAGACCTTGCATGGGACTGACCTAGGCTCTATGCACATATTTTACAGTGGTGTAGCTTAGTCTTCTTGTGGGACTCCTGACAGTGGGAGCAGAGGCTGGCTCTGACTCTGTTGCCTGCTTTTGGGACCCTTTCCTCTTACTGGGTTGCCTTGTCCAGCCTCAATAGGAGAGGAGGTGCCAGTCTTACTGCATCTTGATTGCCATGGCTGACTGATATACATGAGAGGTCTGCCCTTTTCTGAAGAGAAAGGAAGAGTGGGTGGGGAGGGGGGTTGGAGGAGAAACTGGGAGGAGAGGAGGGATGGAGGGGAAACTGTGATCAGGGAAGATCAATTAATTAATAATCCATAAATAAATACTTGTTTTTAAAGAAAGAAATGAAGTATTGCTACATCTGGAGCAAGGTGTCATCCCTTAAAGCAAAAATGAGCTGTAGTCACTTACATGAACTGAAATCACCATGCTTCCTTGTAAGTGAATGTATTCTACAATAACCCACAGTGTCTTCTGGGACCAACATGGGAATGAGAAATATTCTTGTAATAAAACATAAGCAGTTTCTTCTCTGAAAACGTGGTTTCAAAAGATATGGGTGAAGCTGCCTTCCACAGGTGAGGTGAGTGTCTACATACATTTCCATATTATTCTGATCAAGATGAGAGAAAAGTTTGAGGTTATAGACCTGTAAACTCTCACCTGGAAATACTCCTCTAGAGCAGAGAAGGACAGTGAATAGAACACTTAATTAGCTTTAAAATACCGTCTAATTGAGCTGTAGGTTGTAAGTTTATGGAACCATGTGAGCATTTGTAATTCTTTCCTTGCTAACTCCTCAATAACAATTAAACGAAGTTCAATCTCAGTGTTATCACAGCTAAATGCAATAAGAGGAACAAAGGATTGTCTCTGATTTCTTTTTTGTATTTCTTTAGGAAGAGCTGAAACTCAAGGCTTCACAGGTGACAGCTTTGAGAAGCAAATAGGGCAGATGTGGTTCAGTTGTTAGATGGCCTGCAGGGCATGCAGCAGGCCCTGGCTTCAAGTACTAGCAAGGAATGAAGCATCTGTGATGGCTCCTTGCCTGTTTTCCCGGCACTGGAGAGGTGGAGTTCCTGCTTGTCCTCACCGTGGAGTGAGTTTGAGGCCAGCCAGGCTCACTTGAGACATTGCCTAAGAAAAGATGAGAAGAGAACCGATAAGACAAAGAAAAGAAACAGATGAATGGCACAGGGCCCTGGCAACCAGAAGCACACATGTATTTGTGACTTGGAAATTTTAGTGATGTCTCTGTTAGTACAAAAATTGTGAGTCTTCTTCTGGATAAATATGTTCACTGGTAAAGACTAAACTTTAAAAATGTCATCAGGGCACTAGGCAAATGGCTTGGCTCTAGCAGTGTTTCTGCACAAGCTCAAGGACCAGAATTCAAGCTCCTGAACCCACAATCTAAAAAAACTAAATCAAGCACAGAGTGACATGTACTGTGCTCTTGTAATCCCTGTGCTGAAAAGCTGAGACAGGAAGGTCCCTGGGACTTGCAGGCCAACCAGTATAGACTACTTGGTGAGTCCCCGGCCAGTGAGAGACACTGTCCCAAACAAAACACAAGGTGGGCAGCTCCTTAGGGGCAGACAGCCTGACACCAGAAGTTATTCCTCTTGCTTTCATATGCATGCCAATATGCACCCCCACACCACAGCAACACCCCCACACACACACACAACACACACACACACACACACACACACACACAAACAAACACACAGGACAAGTGGCTAGGGGAGACCTCACACATTTAGAGCCTGGCATCTGGATTTTTATTTATTTATTTATTTATTTATTTATTTGTTTGTTTGTTTGGCTTATCCTTGTTGCCTGAGAGTAAAACATGCTTGTCTGTCTTACCCAAGAGAAAGTACTCCCTTTACACAGATATTACCCCCAATAGTTGCTGAAAGGCTTGAAGCTTGACTGCTGCGAGGCGGGTTGGGGATATGGGGAGAGCCCAGAGGAATTGCATGAGGAGAGAAAACTTGGATTGACAGAAACATCAGTTGAAGAAGTTGTCTGTGCCAAACTTGACCTCAAATATGCTCCACCCCCTTGAACCTGCCAACATGCCAAGGTCTCATTGGCTGCCCCAACCTCCCGGGACAAACGGTCTTCTCACCACCAGCCACAGGAAGCTTCTTGATGCACATTGACTTGAAAACTCCCACAACAACACGACATGCATTCCTATGTGTTGAGGAATGGCCCATGTGCTGCCATTTGCTGTGTGGTTTGAAAGAAACCAGGAAGATCAAAGTTCCTCCAGATGGCAATTTGGGGGGGGGATAAGCCCAAATGCTGTTGACTCAGTCATCCCTTTATAGTAGGGATTATCTTATCTCAGTCAGGATTCTCTTAAAATGTTTATCAGGGCTGGCAGGGTGGCTTAGTAGTGTAAGACCCTCGGAAAGCTGAGGCTTCCAGAATCTTAGCCCAGGACCGCGGCCACCCCAATCACAGAATGGAGGCGAAAGCTTGATGCAAATTGCATGAGGCTTTATTGTAATTTAACGAGCTAACCCCATGTTACCTCGGGTCTTTCACCCCCCACCATGGCGGATGGCTAGCAAAGACAGTTTGAAGCCGCTGCGCACAGATCTTTATAGGGCAGCGTAAGGGGAGTGTCTAGGGGTACGCACAGGCTCAGGCTTGGTATGCCTCCAGGCTTGGAGGGTTTGTCCTGTGTTGATTGGTCAACTGGTTGTTATGGCCCATAGGACTTCCCAGGGTGGTTGCTATGCTTTGTGCGTCATTGCTGTGCGCTTCTCCGTAAAGCACACCCAGAGCCATAAAGCATAGTGCCACCAGCTAACTTCTGATTGTTTCCTTATCACGAGGCAGGCGTCTGACTTTCTAGTGTCTGGGACAAGGTCATAGAAGCACGTGTTCGGCCGTTATGGCTGCCAAAAGGGAAGCTGGTCCCTTCAGTAGGAGTCCCGCATTACCGTTCTTTCTGTTGCTGTGATGAAACACTTGGAGCAAAAAATGGAGGAAGGAAAGGGTTTATTTCACCCTATACTTCCAGGTCATTGAGGGAAATCAGGCCAGGACCAAAAGGTGAGAACCAGGAGGCAGGAATCATGGAGGATCAATGCTCACTGGCTTTTCTCTCTGGTTGGATCACAGCTTTAACCTGGTTCTTATACAACCTAGGACCAACTGCTTAGGGATGGTACCATCAGAATAGGCCGGGCCCTCCTCTCCTGCATCATTGATAATCCAGACTGTAACACAGACTGTAACACAAAAATTAATTGACCCAGTGACTGATACTGAGGTTCAAACTTCAAGCTGACTATCAGAAAAGCAAAGCAGCTGGCCATTAGTTTCTTAGCTCTACCTCAGGCTGAATGGGCTGATACTGTCTCTAGGAGCTCTCAGAAAGCCTCCGACTGTAACCTCTTCTCAGCCTGGCTGAAGAACAAATGCCTCTCTGAGACCTTGCTTCTGTTGTATATACTTCCCTAAAGTTGGGATTAAAGGTGTGAACTATAATTCTCTTTTAGACTGATTCACTCTTGTGTAGCTCTGGGTGGTCTTGGACTCACCACCCAGAGATCCATCTACCTCTTAATCCTGAGTCCTAGGATTAAAAGTGTGTACCACCACCTCCTCCTAGCTTCTGGCTGCTGGGAGTAAAGGTGTGTGCCTATCTTCTATGGCTTGCGGCTGACTTTGCTTTCTGAATCTTGAGACAAGCTTTAATAAATCATACACAATATCTCACCACAACAGACCAACATGATATAGACAATAAAAATTAAAGTGTGAACCAAACCTGTGAGGACACTAAGAATACAGCAGGCTCTCTTCCCTGTCCCTTTTGTATTAATACTTAAGATAAAGATTCAAATGAAAGATAGTGACATTTGCACGTTTATTCACCCCCACCACTTCCGGAAACAGGTCTTACGTAGTCCAGTTCAAGAGTGGTTGATGCAAGAGGTTACTGAGAGTTTGAGGCCAGCTTCACAGTGTAACTCTGTCTCAAGGGGAAGAGGGAGGCAGAGGAGGAGGAAGGTCCTCTTAAACATTACCTGTGTCTCTTGCCTAGGGAGGTTACATTGGCCCACGACTCTTAGAGTAAGATTTTCAGTATTGTCTCTGCTGAGGGGAAGAATATTGTCCCAGGGTTTGGGGGTATGGAGGGTGGGGTAGGGGCTGAAGGATGCAGCCAGAAAGGAAGGAGAAAGTGTTCAGCAGCTGGAGGTGAACTGTGGCGACTATCCACAATAGCTCAGAGTTGGAGTAGAGTCTATCCATATGAGTAAACGAGGAACACACACCCACATGTGAGAGTACACACACACACACACACACACACAGAGAGAGAGAGAGAGAGAGAGAGAGAGAGAGAGAGAGAGAGAGAGAGACGCACTTAGGATCTGGGATCTCAATTCATACACTGACTCAAACCTGAGCTTTCAGGCTGTCTTGCGCAGGTGTCTGCCGTGTACCGTGATGGTTATTCCTCATTGTCAGCTTGCCAGGGATTCCAGTCACCTAGACCCAGTTCTGGGCTTAGCTGTGAGGGAGTTCAGTAACTTTAACTGAGCATAAGGAGCCACCCTGCACATGAGTCACATCTTTCCAGGGCTGGAGTTCCAGACCGAATCAAAAGAAGAAGGCAAGCCAAGCATCCATCTCTCTCTCCTGACTGTGGATGCTGTGTGACCGGCTGACTAAAGTTTCTAATGCCATACCTTTCCAGTCATGATGGACTTTACCTTAAAACTGTAAGCCCCCCAAAATAAATAAAATAAAATAAAATCCCATCCCTCCTTAATTTTTTTGTTACAGCAACAAGAAAAATGACTAATACAGTACCTGGGGTGTTACTCCAGGGGTGGTGTGAGGCCTTTGGAAGTCTTCCAGGATATCCAATAAACTCAGAATCCATGTATAGAATGTATTTGGTGCTTTCGCCATCCCTCCAGGTTCCTCTTCCTGCCTTCTGGGGATGCATCATTTGCTTCCCCTTGCCATGCCTGTTTCCACAATCCCCAGACATTTTCCTCAATTTCCTTACCCTTATCCTATCTCAACTTGAATTCCCTTTGAATTCATTCCCAGAAACAATATATTTACAACTATATCTTGACATTTGCCACTAAAAATACATAGTTAATCACACTGAACCCAAACAACCCATCAGGATGATTTCATTACCCCCATTTCCCGTTTGTTGTCTATTGTGGACTCCATCAGTCTATCAGGCAATGTGACTGCCTGGGCCATGCCTTTCTACCCCAGGCTACCTGGGCTTCCCAGCAGGCCACAGAACTCAAAGAGATGAGAAAGCTTCTTCATTAGATTCTACTTTTTAGGTTAAGAAAGAACAGGTCTTAGGGAAGTATGCAAATGAGGTAGTGGTTCTTTGAATGTTGCATCACCTTTTCTCTCTTCTCAGGGCAGCCCTACCCTGTTAGAGATACTCTGGTGTCCTCTGTCATAATTTTTATGTGTATGTTCATTAGAGCAGCTAGTGTCTGGACTAAGCATGATTCCCTGTTTGGGGGCGGTATCTCCTTGGATGAATTCACAGAAGAGAAGGCAAAGGTTCTCATGGGAGCAGGGATCAGAGAAGGGGTTTGGAAGAGAAGGGTGAAGAAGGAATTCCAGGGTTTGCTCCTATCAGAGACCCTTGGGCAGAGAGGATGGGGCTGGAGAATGGAGGTTTTTACAAGCCACTTGGGGCCATAGAAACAGTGCTGGTACCGGGTGGGCCCAGCCGGTGAGGGGTGGGGGACAGCAGTGGACAGAGGTGCATAGCATGTGAGAGGACAGAGCCACAGTGCTGGTGGAGAAGCTTGGTGGGGCCCAGTTCTGCCATGCCTTTGAGTGAGGCAGCAGAAAGCGAATGAAAGCAGTTCCCTCCTAGGCAGGTGAGACACAGCTCTATGTTCTGGAAGCCTGAGAGGAAAAGGGTCCTCGGGAAGTGATAGATGCATCCTGGACTCCCACAAAAAAACCAAAACAACATAAGTAACCAAAAACAGGTTACTTATGCTATTGGGGGAAGGTCTTGCAATTATGCAAAAAAGAGCTGATGAACTATGAGTATCCACAGTAGCAGGGACTTCTGTGCTTGCAATTGGTAAGCTCTTGGGATGCAGGGT